GGGTTCAATCCCCAAACAAATAAGGAACTCATACAATCTAACAGCAAAACAAACAAACAAACAAATAAAATAAACAAATAAATAAATAAAATAAACAAATAAATAGATAAATAAATAAATGGCAAAAGACCTAAACAGATTTCTCCAAAGAGGACATACGGATGACCAACAGACACATAAAACGAGGCTCAAGGTCACTAATCATCAGGGAATCACAGAGATATCACCTCACACCTGTCAGAATGGCCACCATCGATACATCAAAAATAGCAAGTGCCGGTGAGGACGTGGAGAAGGTGGGGTCTGTTGGTGGGATCGCAAACTGGCGCCACCGCTATGGAAAACAGTCTGGAGGTTTTTCAAAAAACTAAAAGCAGAACTACCTTATCACTCAGCAATTCTACTTCTGGGTATCCATCCGAAAAATTTCAAGACACCAATTCATGCATCCTTACGTTCACTGCAATATTATTTACAATAGCCAAGATCTGGAAGCAACTTAAGTGTCCATCGACAGACAACTGGACAAAGAAGCTGTGGTACCTATAGACAATGGACTATTACTCGGCCATAAAAAGGAATGAAATCTTGCCATTTGCGACAACATGGGTAGATCTGAAGGTTAATATTCCCAGAGAAATAAGCCAGACAATGACAACTACTATACGATCTGGCTTATATGTGGAATCTAAAAAAACAACAGAGATGAATAAACAAAACCAAACAGTTCGGTACAGAGAACAAGCTGATAGTTGCCAAAGGGGAAGGCGGAGGGTGATGCGAAAAATAAAACAAACAAAATGGTCCAAGAGATGCTTTTCACTGAATTAGCTTCCTTTCCAAACAAATAACCACCGCCAGGCTTGAGCTCTGACGTGCACGGCAGAGGCCACAGCGGCACTTTCCAGTCCTGCCACCGGCAGGCTGGCGTCCCTTCCCCATGTGTGAGGCGGGCACCTCAGCACGGCCCTCGGGACCGGCACTCACCGGCTTCTCCCAGCGCTGCTGAGGCGGCACCGCAGTGTTTGGCTCAATTTTCTGAAATTTACTCAGCGCCTCTTTGTGAATTTGTTTCAGATGCTCTTCCAACGGAAAATTGCCGTAGGTGAAGAACCTGAAATTTTGAGAGAATACAGCAGTCTACTCTAGTTTTGAAGACCAGGAACGGGCACAGATGGCCGTCTGCAGGAAGCGGGCGTGTCTCCAGCAGCAGCTGACAACGGCCCGTCCCGCAGGAGGTGAGCTTCAGGCAGGAACACACTCTCTTCCGCTTCCTTGGCCTAGGAGCCCTCACAGCTCCTCTTCCTACGTGACCATAGCTGGCTGGAGCCCGACGCAGGACGGGGTAATTAACATACACTTGGCAACAGCTGCTCTCTCTAAACGTCCCTGTCAAGGTGTTACAAACGCCAGGGAAGCTGTACATTAGCGCATTGTGACCTTAGCCACAGTACCGACAGCCACCGGAGACGGGCAAACGCAGTTTATTCGGCCGGGGAGACTACGATGGCGGTGGTGAGCTCTTTACTCTCACGTTAACGCTGTGGGAACTCTATCGGAATGACTTCTGAAAGCCCCGCTCAGAGGTTTAGAGGGCACTCAGCTGTAGCACCCTGGCGCCCGTGCAGACACTGGTCTGTCACGGTCGCAGACGCTGTGGGACAGGACCAGCTGCAGCTCTGCAGGAGTGTGAGTCTGGACCACGGGCAGGGACCGAAACAGACCTTACTGAACGAAGCCTCGCAGCCCGCAGAGACGGGCTGAGCTTGCGGGCCCCTCGGCCATGGCGAGACGGTGTGAGCCTAACACGTAAGTTAAAACATTCTGCCTGATGCCACAACCTCAGACATAGACATATATAAAAGCATGTGTATAAGACACAAGTGTTAAAAATAAAACCAAACAAGGCTAAAAAAAAAGTCTCCATCATCACTGGAGGAACGACTGCCACCACGTCCCCCGAAATCGGACAGCCAAGAGAAAGCAGCAGACCGCCCTCCCCACTGGAGCCGCACTTGGGAGGACCCCCAACCCGTGGACAGGGAAACGCGTCGCATGGCTGAGACACGCAGGAGGCGTCACAGAGGTCTGACGCTGCGCTGGCCCTGCCAAGGCCCGCTCAGGCAGCAGTGGTGGGTGAGTGTGAGAACCAGGGACAGGTGGCGAGGGCTCGGTGTTCACAGGGCGCCGGTCACCAAACCCCGATGCTGGGGTCTGTGGGAGAAGCACTCTGCAGTTACGGTGGCATTGTCTCTGTGGGGCCACACACTACCTGCCCACGGTGGGGGCAGGTCAGAAGCACTCAATATGACCCAGCAGGGGTGCAGGCAGGCATCAGCTCTACAGGTGACAGGGCCTGGGGAGCCCAGCCCAGCTCTCGGAAGCACAGGACCACGTCCGCCAGTGCCAGAGGGGCACCCGGACGCCCCAGCGGGGCAGACAGAGGCAGCGCCCGCTTCCGTCAATTTCAATGAAACAGGGTGAGGAGGCCCTGCCCTGCCCTACCCTACGTGAAAGGGGCTGAAGAGTCGCACTGGTGGAGCACTCCTGGGACTTTCCAGCAGCCTGTCGCTGGCCCGCGGGAGGCCCTGGGGGGTGGCGTTGCACCACGCGGAGTGTGAGAGGTCGCCGCGGGGCTTCAGACCGAGCACACAGGTGGCTGGGACAGATGACCTGGAAGAGCCCTCCCCGAGTGCACACACATGCTGCCCAACGTCAGCAGCACGTCATGGAGCACAGGAAAATGCACACGCACCAGCTTGTCACTGAGCCCCGGCAAGCAGGTGGACCCTCATCTGGCAGAAGCTCACCTGGCATTGCTGGGGTGGTAATGCTTCGCGTGGAACTGCCTGAGCTGCTCCCACGTGAGGTCCGGGATGCACAGGGGGGCGCCGCCCGACACGGCCGCGTACGTGTGGTCGGGGAGCAGCTGGTTCTGAAGGTGCTGTGAGAAGACCCTCTCGCTGTCCGCCTTTGAACCAAAGAGGCACACATGGTGACATGACGCGCCCCCTCTGGGAGCGTGCTCCCACGCCACCTCGCAAGGGAGCTGTCCGCACGGCACACAACGTCCACGCAGACGCTGCGTGACCAAGCACTCGATCTGCCGCCACCGACGCGTGGGACCCAGGGACCGGCTCCCGGAACAGGAGGGACACCCCTCACCGTGCACACTGGTAACCAGCACCGCAGGAGGGGTGTGGGAGGTGGGGTCCCGGGTGTCCGAGGGAACGCTGTCATCCCAAGTTCAGTTTCAAAAAGGTGCTCAGAAGAAATGACGCCCAAACCGAGCATCAGAGGTAAGAACGAGCCTCTGGCTGCAGCAGGGGACCGTGAGGACAAGGCCCAGGACAGCCTCGTCTGGTCTCAGACCCTCTGTCCTCCTAAACGTTAGTGAGGTCCCCAAAGAGCTTTCGATGGCGTGGGTTTCTTGGTCATATGGGGGTGTGTGTGTATAATTGCTCTAGACGTTAACTGCGACATTGTAAAAATAGTTACATTCATTCGCTAACCCATTGTTACATGTTAAGTATTTTTTGAAACATAGTTTTCATAATAAAAAAGTACTGAGAACAGTTTTACACATTTTGGGAACCTCGCTCACGTCTGGCTTCTGCGAAGGTGGCGCACATCCCGTTTGAGTCTGTGCTGACACACTGAGACCTCGCACCGCACGGCAGCCGTGGGGGGCTCTGCTGCTCACGCGGGGGGAGGTGGGGAGACTGTGCCTCAGTGTCATCATGGAAACAGTCCCTCTCTTGCAGACCTGCTGCAGGTCACAAGTAGGGGTCCCCAAACCAGTTACAACTGCTCGTCTAGAAAAGCGGGTTCGAGGGCGCCCGGGAGCCTGGCCTCTGCAGCCCTGGGGTGCTCGCCCCGCTTGGCTCATTTAACGAGCCCAGACCGGAGTGTCAGCTGTCATCCAAGGCTACTCATGCTCCAGCATTTCAGATTCAGACTGAGATCATTTTCACACGATGCAAAAAGGAAAACACTCACGAAGGCTCCCTTCATCTCGTTGAAGACAACCCCTTTGAAGACCAAGGCTGTCTGGGGGTCGGTAGGGTCCTCGTGTTCCAGCCGCCACCCCTCCTGCCTGAGAGAGGACAGGAAATCGCAGTGGCAGCGCCTCTGGCAGCGAGTCCACACCAGGCCCAGCCGTCACCTACCAGAAGTCCAGTTCCCGCAGGCAGGGAAAGAAGGCCGCGTCCAAGTACACGGACAGCAGGTTCTGGAAGTCCCTGGGGTTTTGCGTGGAGAACGGGTACATGGTGTAATCGCTAGCTGGGAGCAAACGAAAGGGAGGCTCTCAGACGGCGGCCCCCACGGGGATGGCCCGCCGCGACTCTCCAGCCGGCGGGACTGCTGCTGTCGGCACGCAGGGGCTGTGCCCCTCCCCAGCTCTGGCCCCAGCTTCGTCCGGCGGGGTGGGCCTGGCAGTGACTTCGGTCCAAGAGACGGCCATCTCCGGGAGGCCACATCCTCTGTCCCCTCTGCACGGCCTGCAGCACTCGGCACCTGCCCTCAGCGCAGCAGCTGCCCTGCTTCCCCCACCCACGGCCCGCCACAGCCTGTTCCTGTCCACCCCCCAGGACAGGATGCTAGAGGCCACCTGCGGTGCCCTCCCCCACGACCCCGGCTCCAGCGCTGCCATCCTAACTGGCTTCAAGGCCCCAGTCCCCACGCCTCTGTGCCCAGCATGCGAGTCCGTGCTCAACCATGGGGGACCGGCGACACCCCATCCCGGAAACACCCCGACGCGCCCCGGGACTGGACGCGCGCCTACCGGTGAAGGCGTTCATGAAGGTGGACAGCGATCGGTTCAACATCTTGAAGAATGGATCTCGGCACGGGTACTTCTGCGAGCCGCACAGGACCGTGTGCTCCAGGACGTGGGGGACCCCAGTGCTGTCCGTGGGCGTGGTGCGGAACTGCACACTACGGCCGGGAGAGACGGCGCCAGGTGAGGCTCACGCCTCCACGGCTTGGCTTCCGAGCTCGCTCAGGTACCAGCACGCGTCATTTTAGCCTTGTGGCCTCTCGCGGAAATGTCTGACTGTGACGTGTGCAATCACTGACCCCAACTGTCACTGGTCACTGTTCGTAGCTGAGGATGTAAACTCGCCTAACATTGTCCTTACACTAGTGGGTGCTGTCATCACCCCCGCTCTAAACTGCAGCGGGCCCCTGGGCACGGGCTCCGAGGGGCTCTCGGGATGCCCACGCACCTGAACAGGTTGTTAGAGTCTTCTCGGGCCAGGTGCAGGTGCCTCGCTCCTGTGCCGTCGTGGTCGAGCTTCACGGCGGTCAGGAACAGTTCAGGGACGGACGTTACCTAGTCAACATGAATATGAGCAGCTAAACTACAAGGAGGGGCACTCAGTGGTTACGTTAGACCACGTGCCTTACCGAGGACCGCACGGGGACGCCGGCGTGACACCCAGACCTCAGAGGAGGACGGGGACAGGGAGCCGGGCTGGCGATGCGGCGCGCCCTTCCTTTCTAGAACATCGCCAGGCATTTGCCAAACAGTTCTCGCCCCCAGGTACCGATGGAAATGCGGAGGCTCGGCCGAGAGCCAGTCAGGATTCAGACACCAGTCACGCCAGGCCGCCCGGGTGTCAGGACGCTCACGGGAGGCTAATGCTGCGACGGGCCTCAGCCCGGGCGGCTAGGACACTCGGGGGCTAGTTTGGCCTCACCTGCCCGTGACTTGTTCCTAGTGGGGGCGCCCAGGAGGGGACAGTAAAAAGGAAGGCACGGCCCCGAGGGCGGTCCCCCCGGAGTCAGACTCTCCTGGGTCTCCAGTCCTGGGAACTGAAGACGCAGCCGCCCCCTGACCCCCGGTCACAGCACGTGTCCCTGGGTCAAGCACACTGCCACCACCCCACTTTTCAGAGGCCGTGCAAGTCACCTGTCTGCTGCACTGACACAGTAATGCTACTGGCAGGGCAGAGCCTAGAACTGGGGTGTCCTGACCCGCTCTGGGGGCCCCGACACAATGACACGCCTAAAGAGGCTTTCTAAGGCCTGTGTCACTTACGGCTAGTACATCATCTCTCTCCGAGCTCACTGTGCTTCGTAAGAGATGAGCACCGCGGCCGAGACCGCAGACACGGCGACAGGTCTGCCACATCTCAGCTTTCACGGCACCGTTTCTCAAACCAGAAAGATCCTGGTTTATCATACGTTTCCACAGAACGTGAAAAACACTGGAAGATAGATGTTCGCTAAACGTCTTAATCATTTCACTGTATGTAAATCAAACCATCATGCTGTGCACCTTAAACTTACACGTGGATTTATGTCACTCATTTCCCAGTAAAACTGGAAAACAAACCTAGGCACCTAAAGGGAAGAGTTGGCTCCCCTGAGGAAGGCCTTCGTCACCATCATGGCACTACAAACGTGACCCCCTGTGAGGCCTTCCTGGACCCCACCAGGGCACCTGTCCTGGCCCTGCCCCCGTGGCCTGGAGACAGGCGGCAGCCTTCCTTCATGGCCCCCAGCGGCTACCCTGCACCCCGCCCCTCCCTCCGCAGGCCCCCAGATGCCCTGCATTACAGCTGGGGCCTCTGGGCTGAGAGCTCCTGGCCTCTGCTGGGTGGCCTGCACAGCAGGAAGCCGCCAGCCAGCCAATTATGTGAAGTACACTCTCAATTACCTTATTAAAGGAGAAACAAAGTGAAAGTTTAAGCACAACAAGGAGCAAACGAAATCCATTTTAACATAAACCCAAGTAAGTACAGGATCACCATCTCTTTTCCACAATTCTGAAACCCCAATGGCACAAGCTCACAGCACGTGTGTTCGACGGTAAAGCCTGACCCGGTGGACATGGGGCACTTGGGGTCATTACGTATCACACTCAGTGTGAACACTCAGACTCTGGAGGCAAAATGGTAATGAGTCTGACCCTTCTAAACCCCATTCGAGGGAGTACCTGCTGAGGAGGAGGAGGAAGCCTGCCGCTCTCTGCAGCTGGAAGGAGTCAGGTGGGAGCCCCGCCCAGCCAGGCCCGGCCCCGCCCCCAGGCCTTGGCTCACCTGGCTCACGGTGTATCCGTGCATCTTCTCCCCGACGTGGTACTGCAGCGCCCTCTCGCAGGCCGTGGTGCTCCCCCACCTCCATGCTCTGAGGTCGGCACTGCTACATGCACAGAAAGCCATCAAAGTTAGGTGATCGCTGGAAAACTGGCACAGATAATTCAGTGACATGATGAAAATACTGTCACGTGATAAAGCTAATTCCAAGAAAAATTAAACCTTGTATCTTCCAAACGCATTCCAGGAAACTAATTTCTAGTACAGTTCTTTCCATTTTAATGGTCTTTTATCTCAATTCAGCTAAAGCTTTATGTCAACTAATAATTAACTGTTAAAAACCTTTTATTTGTACAGGTTTGTAACTATAATACGATTATGACACCAATTTCCCTTAACTGTATTAAAAAACCCCGCTGTGACAAAATAGCTCCGTCCATCACGGCATCTCAGGGAACCCAAACTACAACGCAGTGAGTGCTAGCACGCACCTACCAAATGGGGCACGGGCGGGCTGTGGCGCTACCGGAACCCTCACAGGCCTCCTGGGTGTGCAAGCCGGGACAGTGGCTCTGGGACAGCACTGGGCATTACTGGGCAGTTCACGCGCCTGATGTGCAGGCGTCCCGTTTCTCAAGGTCACCTTCTGCCACTTCGCTTTTAGACCTATGTTGGCACCCATTTCACTACTCGAAAGAAATCCCAAGGGGATTTTTGCTTTAATGAAAAAAGGCTAAAATCGGAAGCAGTGTTTGGCGTTTTGCATGAGCCATTGCAGAGGCCCCGCCAAGCTGCACCCCGCGAAACACGCTCTGCATCTCGCATCCCCCGAGCCCAGCTGCGCACGCGTCAGCACGTGTTGTGTGGATACGCTTGTTTTGCGCGTTCCTGCTTTTACTGAATGTTATGTTACTTTAGGTTTTGTGTTATTTGGTATGTTTTGGTAGGTTATTTTTGAGGTTTGGGAACATCTAAATTTTCCGTATAATTTAATGGTAACTGCTTCTTTGCTTTAGGCCATTTTGGCTTAAGCAAAGGTTTCGCAGGAACCCACCTGCTTCTGGGTAGCGGGGGACACCTGTAGATGCCTGGTGTAACAGCACACATGGTCAAGTGTGGGCACCATTCCTTAGAGCCCCAAACTCCACCAACCCAGATGTCTACCAACAGAGAACTGAGAATGGGTAAATCGTGGACTCTTCCATCGATAAACTAGCAATAAGAACAAACCAGCTGCAACTCCACGTAACAAAGGTCTGGGTCACAACGCTGAACCAAAAACCCCGAATCAGAGGACAGACACGGTGTTACTTTAAACAGGTAACGCTGCCTTGTGGAAACATACCATAGAAAAGCAAGGAGATCGTTTCTGTAAACCAAGTGAGAGATTACATCTAAGAGGGAGAGTGACTTAGGAGTTAATCTTACACTGAGTCATGGTGACACAGCTTATTTTTAAAAAAAAATTTCTCTCAGCAGTATTATGTTTTACAGGATTTTCTATATTAACATACCTCACAGAAACATTTCCTTTAACGAAGACAGGAGCGGAAAAGGAAAAAACCCACTAACTCAGGAAGTATAACTGTGGAGACTGCTATCAACCAACATTTTCCTTACTGAGTTGGCAAATTCTAGAAATGGTGGATATTTTAAGAAGTTATTTATCATCAAGAACACTACCGCGAAAAGTGAATGCTTACTCTGCAAGTCTATGAAAAGCTGGGGCTGCTTCCGCGGGTACACTGTGGCTGCCCTGATGAACAGCGCTAAACACACCCCCAGGGCACCCCAACAACACGCTCTCCAGTATTTCCTCACCTGGGCTGAGGGCACCATACATTAAACAAGTTTTGTGAATTAGCATTAAACGACACAACTTAGCTTTTGGTAATAAGTAAAATGCTACATTTTTCAAACTCACCCATTGTTGAAAACGAAATGTCATCTTTTTCTACAAATAGCTATTTTTTAAAAAGCTCAAATCCTGGAAGCTACAATTTTATTAAAAATTTAGCTGCGTAAGTTTACCACGTGGTGTGGAAGCCTCTGGTTTCTTAAGGACTCTCCGCCCACAGCTAAAAACGAGCCACTTAATGGGACCCATAACCTGCCAGTTACTTTTATCACGCGTATTAAAATCCACATAACCACCTGCTTCACTTCCAAAGCCCTGACGACCCGCTCACAGTGGGTGAGCCCACCCACTCGGGGCCCGCCTGAGGTCTCTGAGGAGAGGGGCGCAGGGCCGGGTCCTGCTGCTCCGGACCTCCCGGCTGGTCACCGCGGCCCGGTTAACGGGGCGGCCCTCCCTTAGGGATGTGGGAGCTGGAGTGCGGAGGCGCTCGAGGGGGGCCAAGAGGACCCGCCACCCAGACCTTGAAAGGGTCCTCAGGCTGGCCTCCCGGCTCTTGGGAGGGGCCTCGGGGTGCGGGGGGCCCCCGGCCCACAGAGCTGTGGAGCGGCGCCTGCGGCCCGGAGCGACCCTGAAACCCGCCGCCCGGCCCGCGGCCCGCCGTCGCCCCCTTCTCCTCTTCCCCTCCTTCCTTCCTTCCACGCTCCCTCCCGCGTCTCACCGGCAGCTCAGCCGCCGCAGCGCGACAGGGACAGACAAACTGCAGCGCCACATGGCGTGTGACCGGCGTAGGGCAGGCAACTGCTGCCGCTTATCCCGAGGCCCCGCGCGGGGGCGGCACGCAGGGCCGCCATCCCATTGGTCGACGTGCGCGGAGACGCCCTCTCCAATAGGCTGGCGAGGAACGGGGC